AAGCATTTGTCAAAATTCAACATCCATTCATGATAAAAATTCTCATCAAAGTTGGTGTAGAGGAAACCTATCTTGGCATAATAAATGACATTTATGACAAACCTATAGCTAACATCTTATTCAGCAGTGAAAACCTGAAAGTCTTTCCTCTAAAATCAGGAAGAAAACGTGTTTGCCCATTTTTGCACTTCTATTTAATATAGTATTGGAAGTCCTAGCCACAGTAATCAGACATGAAAAAAGAAATAAGAGGCACCCAAATGGGAAGGAAAGAAGTAAAACTGTCACTTTTGGCAGATGACTTGATACTATATATAGAAAACCTCAAAGTCTCCATCACAAAACTATTAGAACCAATAAACAAATTCAGTAAAGTTGCAGGATGTGAGATAAACATACACAAATCTGTCGCTTTTCTATACACTAATAATGAACTATCTGAAAGAGAAAGAAAACAATCCCATTTAAAATCAAATCAAAAAGAATAAAATACCTAGGTATAAACTTAACTGAGAAGGTGAAGTATCCATGCTCTGAAAACCCTAAAACAATATTCAGGAAATGAAGATGATACAAAGAAATGGAAAGATATCCCATATTCATGGACTGGAAGAATTAATATTGTTAAAATGGCCATGCGACCCAAAGCAATCTACAGATTTAATGCAACTTCTATCAAAATATCAATTACAGTTTTTCACAGAACTAGAACAGATAATCCTAAAATTTATATGGAACCATAAAAGACTCTGAATAGCCAAAGTCATTTTGAGAAAGAAGAACAAAGCTGGAGGTACTACAAGCCAAGGAGCCACCAGGAGCCGGGAGTGAGGCCTGAACACACCTCTCCCGGCAGCTCCAGAGACAGCGTGGCCCTGTCAACACCTCCGGAACTGTGAGATAACACATTTCTGGGGGTTAAGCCAGTCACTTTGCTTCATTACAGTAGCCCTAGTAAGTTAAATAGAACATGTGGCCTAAGAGGGCTGTGCTCACTTGGAAATAAGGCCCAAGGCTGGCACCAAGTCCAGCTTCTCAGGTGCTCGCAGGAACACATTTCACCAGCTCTGAGTGTGGTGGGCCACAGAGGGGAGGGGCCAGGCCCAGGTGAGTTTCAGATTTCTCTGTAATACTGCTAAAATCCAAAAATCCGTATGTCTGTGCCTAAATCCATGATGTTTTCCAAAGCTAGTGGATCCTGGGGCACTGGGAGGGGAAGACAGGAAGTTAGGACTTAAATTTTATTTCTAAATCTTCCAGGCCCAGAAGGGTTGCCTCCAGTGTTTCCAAGGAGGCCTTCACTTTCTGTGCTATCTTTGGGTTTAACTCACCGCTTGGAAAGACCTTGAGTATTTGATTCTGGAGAAATGTTTTCTGTCCTTTCTAGTCTGTGCATATGAAAATGAAGTTGTGGTTTGATACTTGAAAGGAAAAACAGATTATTTTGTTAGCAAATTGGTTTTCTTGGATCAACAATTTGGAGAAGTGAACACTGGAACTGGTTGCAGGGAGACACAGCATCAATCTCCAACAGATGAGACTGATTCTCAGCAAATTGCACCGAGGGTGGTGATGTTAAGATAACCAACTACACATTTTCCGCGTGGATCTTTAAAAACCAATATGGAATGTAAAACCTGCAAGTACCTGGCCTCCACAGAGAATGCTTTTTTTTTTTTTTCTTTCCCATCTAGATTGGTGTAAAGAGCTCTGGATCTGACGGCTTTAGCAGTTGACAGAATCTATCAAATTTTTCTTAAAATCCCCAGAGCTGGAGACAATGCAGAGCAGTTTGCTGGATTGTGAGAAGATTTTCCTTGAGGGGAAGAATATGCTCGGCATTGTTGCTCCTTTGCAACCAGTCTTGCAGAATGGGAGCAGCTGTTCTGCAAATTATTTTTGTGATGGAGAGGGGAATCTACCTTTCATTCTTTGCATCCACAAGTGGGCATGCAAAATACATAGAAACATACTTATATAACTGTCTTGACCTCCCTCCTTAGTCTCTCTTTTCCTCACTTCCTTTTTTTTCTTCCCCAATTCTCTTTTTGATTTGTGCTGTGAGAGGAGAGGGCTTCTTATGCCTGAGCTTCTTCCTCTGATGACAAGGAAAAGTGTAGGGGAAAACGATCAACTCTTGTACAGGGGCCAAAGGCAATTACTTTGCTTTGAGGATTCCTGGGATGAGGGAATGAGCCAGGAGCTCTTTCAGGAGAGGAAGGGGAGGGGAGGTGTATGAGTGGCCTGCCACTCGTTCTCCCAGGGGCAGCTGCTTCCGCAGAATCCAGGCTGCAGGACGGCTGAGCTGCTGCGAGCTGAGGTGCCGAGGCCCAGGACTCAAGTGCAGACATTACATAAATCAATGCCAATTTAAACGGGAAGATTATTTTAACCTCGGAATGTCACTTTATATGTTTCAATACATGGTCCATTATTTACTCTCCAGGAAAGTTTCACTCAGGGCCCCCCTTCTCTCTGTGCTTATTTGCGACGGCCAGACCATCAGGCATGCGATGAACTGCAAATTGAAACAAGCTCAGCATCCCAAACCGGTGGGGGTCGTGACCTGCTGGGGACACGGCCAAGTGAAGACAGGCATCTCATTCACCATGGCACACTTGGCCCTTTCTTTTGTGAAGCCGAGGGTGAAGAGGTGGCGGTTACAACCCAGAAAGGTGCTCAGTGTAGGTGCTGAGAAGGTGGGCCCTACCCCTCCATCCATCCTGGTGGGACCTCCATGGAACAGCCCTAACTATTCTCAGAAGGAAACAGAGTCAAGTATTTGGAAAGTTACCTTCCATTAACTCCCAGGCGGGTCTAAAGCCTTCTGATGTTAACTGGCAACGGTGTTTCATTTGGGGAAGAGAAGCTATGGTCTCCCCTCTTTACCCAGCTGTGCTCCAATTCTGAAGTCACCTTCTGAGCACAGGTGGACTAAACACCTGTGAGCCTCAATCCCGTAGTAACAACGGTAGTAACAATAGCTGGAGTTCTTTTAGGTGAGTCAACAGCTAAATTCAGAGAACTGGTTTGCTGTTAGCAAGACTCTCCACTCACCTTCTCTGGTCAGCCTCATTTTGGGGGAAATATAACCTTAAAGTAAAAAATTTATGTTCTCAACTTCAGATTCTAAAATATAAATGCACTATATATCTTCATTTAAGGGAAAACTGACTCGTTGGCAAGATAAACTATATACAGAAGTAATGCTGAGAGACTTGTAAAGAGATGAGCATTAAAAGTTTTGCAAAGGATGGCAAATATCTAAGTAGCTGAGTAGCAACTTGATAAATTTTATACCAAGGGTGGTAGTAACACACAATATTCTTTAAGTTTTTTTTAGCTGACACTGTTAGATCAGAGCCCACTCATTCTCATTATTTTGAAGCATTTATAGTAAATCCTATTTTGTACCAGTAGATGTCATTACAGAAATGCAGTGTATTTTAACTGAGTAATTTTAGATATGCTTCTCTTACGTTTTTTCATGTGGGCCAAGCCTTATGGTTGTGAAAAAGTTGGTACAGAGAGATCTCTACAGAAAATGTTTACTAAAGGATCATACAATATACCTCATACGTTCCTCCTAATACAATATTCCCTGGAAAATCTAAGGAAATGAGAAAAGTTAAGATAGGATCATGCAGGAAGTGGAAGAGACGTTCCACACTTCTGATTTTAAATTTATCAGCCACAAACGATCCAGGTCTTCGTGTTGAACTTAATCTGATGGAAGAATTGGGATTTTGAATTAACTAGCTTGTCATTTTCTGTGCACCTGCTGCCTTCAAGGCCTCTGCTGGCACAGACTGTTTCTTTGGGTTTTTAAACAGAGGAACAAAAGTAGCCAGAGGAATCTAAGAAAGGGAGACCACGAACACAGGACAGACATAAAGGGGAGTTTCTCCAAATTTGCAGCTTATCAGTGATAAACCATGATGTAATAAGGGATCCGAGTCAGTGGCCAGGATGCTCCCCACAAAGCGATCAGACCCCAAACGTGTGCTGAATGGTGAGCCAACCAATGGTCTCACTTAGGTCTCTGAGTCACACTCGGTTGCCCACACCCATTCTTCTCCGTCTGCTGTGCTTCCTTGTAGAATTGGGGGCAAAAATGTCTTGCCTTTTGGCTGTCAGATCCTTCCATGTCATATTCCATCCAAACCAATGGGTAATTAAAAATCTTGGTGAAGTTAAAGTGGCTCCTTCCTGGGAGGTGGGAGGCTTCAGTCTTGACCCATAGTGTGTAAACCTTTGCTTGAGATTTTAGTGTAGCACCTGTTAGTTTGGTAAGAAATCTGTCACCCGTTGTAGTACCCAGAGCTCTAAGGTAGCAAATCATCTCTTTCTGCCCTCAGGGAAACCGCATATATGATGCTATCAACGGTGAAACATGTTTTTTACATTAATTTTTTGTATGAAATTTTGCAAACTTTGAAATAAACTTTTAAAAAGTAAAGATAGGGACTTCCCTGGTGGCGCAATGCTTAAGCATCCACCTGCCAATGCAGGGGACACGGGTTCAAGCCCTGGTCCAGGAGGATCCCACATGCCACGGGGCAACTAAGCCCGTGCACCACAACTACTGAAGCCCGCATGCCTGGAGCCCGTGAGCCACAACTACTAAAGCCTGCACGGGCCTAGAGCCCGTGCTCCGCCGCCAGAGAAGCCACCACAATGAGAAGCCTGTGCACCACAATGAAGAGAAGCCCCCGCTTGCCGCGACTAGAGAAAGCCCGTGCGCAGCAACGAAGACCCAACCCAGCCAAAAATAAATAAATTAATTAAAAAATAAATAACTAAATAAAGATAAAATCCTGGTTTTGTGAAAAGATGCTGATCAAAATACTTTTTCGGAAACATTTTCATTATGGAAAGATGTTAAGTATATGTGATTATGTTTCAAAGTCTGAGCAGTTAGCAATTAAGTTCATTTTATTTTTCAAAAATACCATCACATAAAATCTCTGTATACATGATGTGAGTGAAAGAAGCCATACCTTGTGATAATATCCATCAAGAGGCTGTTGCATTCCTTGTATTCCAGGAGGTCCCTGTATTAGAAACAAATCAAAGACATACATAAACATTTACCAAAACAATGTGTATTTAAATAATGTATCTAAGAACTCTTAAAATCTCACAGGTAAGAAGAAGGAAGTGTCTGTTCAGTCAAGTATTCTAATTAATAGAGTATCACGTGGACATTAGCTTATCTGGTTCTTAAACGTATTTCTAGGTTAAATCCTGCATGAATCCAAAGAAAGGTCCTAACTGGGAACACGTAACATTTTACTAAAAGGTCAGCCATCAGCATATTCCTTATTAAAAGGAATCTTACCCATAAAACTCCTCAAGGGAAGAGGCTGAAGAGCTTCAGTTTATGTTTGACACTTCTTATAGGGCTTTTATCAATGCATTATGGAAGTGTATGCCCACATGTTATTACCTTAAAAAATAAGGGAAAAATATTGTTTTGTTATTGCTTTAATTATTTGAATTAGTTGGGTGAACATGGGCTTCCCACGGACTTTCAGGCCAGAAAAAGATATTTGCTGTATAACCTTGGGCTTAAGACATTTAAATACATGTAGTTTTCAGATGATGTGGAAATATTCACGAAGCACTCTGCTGAGTTTTGGGTGGATAGGAAGGAAGTAAAGACATTTGTCTGTCCCTAAAACTTCCAGGAAGAGAGGAAGAGAAGCATTCTCTGAGTTTTTCAGGGATTAAATTTTGGGGAAAGGGGTGGAAGAAAATGCAAAGATTAACATGATTCGATTTTAGGTAGTTCAGCCAAAATAGATTCAGCTATCTCAGAAAAGAGACTGCATATCTCATCCACACCTCGTAAGCTCCTAGGAGGAGAGAAAATGTTACAGAAGCAAAGTTCTCAGAAGATAAGACACCGAAAGATCATGATTCAGCCAACCAAAGTCACTATTATACAAAGATTATTATTTTAAAAAGCGAACGAAAGCTTTGGAAAGTGAAGAAACATTTTAAGGAACATCTGCTAGCTGCACTCACTGATATAGGTAACACCTTAGGTTATCTTGAAAAGATTAATGTTGGTCAACAGTTATGACGGGTGTTTCTTAGGAACGGCCTGTGACAGAAGATCTAACATGAAGGCTTTACTTTGTGCCGTTAAATGTTGAGGACAGCAAGGTGTAGTGATGGATGATAGAAGGAGGCAGGTATAACTCGTGAGAAAATAATAGGCCTTGTGCGGAACGGAGCTGACTGTGGTTGGAAAGACAAACGACGCTGTTACCTTGCTGGAATCAAAACAGAGCTAATGTCAGAAAATAATTCTCTAGGCGCTATTATTTTTCAGGTTCTTTTTCCATCAGCCAGCTTTGTGTGACGTATTCCAGGTCAGGTAGTTGAAGCGAAGAGGAAAGCAATTACTGAGTTGGGGGTTGTTTCACAAAGTTTCCGGCCAAGAAGGTACAAGCTAGGAACTCATTCTTGAAATTCAGGAGACATGAGACTCCATACACATTGATCCTTCTGCAACTATTTTTAACAAGGCAAGGAGAAATCTTAGATACCGTATGTAGTAGCATCAAAGGTAACTTAGGGGTATCTGCATAGCAGGCATTGGGTGAATGGTGAATGTGTATTGATCATAAGGTCAATTAGATCAAAGACTAGTGATGTGGTAGGTACATTTAGCTTCAGACACATTCGTCTTAGCTAAAAGGGAAAGGCTTAACAAGTGGGGCTCCTGAATACAGCAGATCAATTAATAACGTCTGTCAACTAGAGCAGAAGAATCCATCAAATAATAACGGCACACATTTAGGTAGTGTGTATCGTGCGCCAGGCATTACACCAAGGGTTTCAAATAGACTAACTCATTTCATCTCTACAATGACACCATGAGGTATGTACCACCATTATTTCCAATTCAAAGATACAGAAAAATGAGCGTTTGAAATAGTTAACTGGCCCAAGGTCACAACCCTGGTATGCGGCAGGGCTAATATTTAATGGAGGCAGCCTGGCCCCAAACTCACTTCTTAGTTGTTCAACTCTTGTAACTTAAAAGCAGATTCTCAGCCTAAAATAATTTTCGCAGGCATTTTAAAATTATGGTTATGGAAAGGAAAACTGTCCCAGTATCCTGCTCCTGTAGTGACCTGCAGCAGCTATACAGATACCACGGCTTTGCTCTATTTGTGTTGGGCTGGGAGACACAGGACGCCCGAGTTAATGGGATAAGTAGACAATTACACAACAGCTGTAAAGTGCTCATGAGCTCCGGGGAGACACACCTGTTCATAACCCAACTGTGCTCGCGTGTAATTACCGGAGCGGTCCATCAGCCTGGTGTGGGGAGAGACCCTAATGTTGTTTCCTACTGCAAAGAACCATGCCTGGTGTGATGAAGGGAATTAAAGATACATTCAACTTGGGAACATATATGCTCGGTAATGGTTTAAAGCATTTAAAAAGGGTTTTTTATTTGTTCGTTGTTTTTTTTTTTTTGGCTAAAATCTTGCTAGAGGTGGAAGACAGAGAAATATCCTGTCTGCCACCTGCGTCATCAGATGCTAGTGTGAAAATGATCAACTGTTTGCATTATCAGCTCCTTAGATTTCAGCCTGGGCCACAGAGTCCCAACGTCTAAAGGATGGGGAGAGCTCTGTGTTAAAGCTTCTTCGGTCCTGGTCTTGGCCGCACTTTCACTTTCCAGCCGGTTCATGCAGTATGCGGAGCTTTGCCTTTTTTCCCTTCCCTGGTCTCTGCTGAGAGCTCCCTGTCACCGTCAGGGCTGGGCCTTTGGGTCAGCTTTAGCGTACCCTTGATGTTCTGAATCAAGGTCTCCGTGGCCCCTCAGCCACTCTGCTCCCTCTCTGGCCCTCCTTCCTGAACTGTCTTCCTTCCTCCCTCTTCTCTGAAAGCATCCTTCAGCTCCCCATAACTGCTGACTGAACGTCCGTGCGCCATCTGGGTACCACTTATCTCCACGCACCAACACTCTTCATTAGGAGCTCTCTCATTAGGGGCTCCTTTCAGGATTCACAAATACATATTTTCAGGTTGTACACAACTGCCTTCTGGCCCTGTGGGTTTCCAATTAACTTTGCTAACAACCTTTGAAATACCAAAAACCTCTATGAAGAAAGTTGCACTAATCAACTTTTTTCAAAGCATGCTAAAAAACAGCTTTGCTATAAGAAGAGATAGAAAGTTTGTTATTGAAAAGTCATTTGGGCTAATTTTCAAGAAATATTTCTAACTTTCTAATGGCTAGTAGAAAAGGCAAAGACCAGTAATTATTTTTCTTATATTAAAAAATTTATTAGGAAGCCTAACCTCATTCATAGGAATGGTAAGATGAAGCATGTTTCAATAATACAGTAATTGCTGGCAAGTTTAGTGTCAGAACGAGTTTTTCTCTTATATATATACATTCCATCTATAACATTATATATAACTTAGTGAAGCACATTTATACTGATTTATGGGTTTTTGTGTGTGTGTGTGGTACGCGGGCCTCTCACTGTCGTGGCCTCTCCCGTTGCGGAGCACAGGCTCCGGACGCGCGGGCTCAGCGGCCATGGCTCGCGGGCCCAGCCGCTCCGCGGCATGTGGGATCTTCCCGGACCAGGGCACGAACTCATGTCCCCTGCATCGGCAGGCAGACTCTCAACCACTCCGCCACCAGGGAAGCCCTGATTTATGGTGGTTTGAGTACATGTCTATCTTTCCAGTTGGAATGAAAACTCCTTGAAGATAGGAGTTTCAATCTTTTTTATCTTATCATAACATATAGTACCCCCATCCCAGTATTTGCTGAATTCAATAGAATCTTTTGCAAGAAAAATTTTGAGGGTATAGCCAATTTCTTGCTCGTTCGTTTTGATTTCAGTTAGAAATGGTAGCAAACTGAGCAGGGGTCTTGCTGCTTCCAAACTCACAGAATACAGGGCCAACAGATGCAGATTAATCTAAGAATCTGGCTAAATAACTGAAAACAAAGCTGCAGTGAGCTCCAGTTAGTGGAAAAGAGCTTATGGATGGATTTTTGACCAGAATTACAACATGGAAAGTTGTCTCCAATTCTGAGAGAAAAATCAATAGTACTCTTTAGAAAATATTTGGGAAATCAATTTCTTTTTCTTTTAAACACAGATCCTTTTATTTATCTTAAATATTTGCTCTAAATGAGTTTTTTCATTGTCTCTTGGGATTTAATTAACTTAAACAGTTGTAATTTTAGAATAGATTGTTTTTCAGAGAATGTTTCTGCTACAAAGTTTTAGTGGCTAAGGAGATACCAGCACTCCAACCTCTCCCCCTCCAAATTGCTGAAAACTCTCAAATTGCAAACTATGATTTCTGAAGCAAGGAGGGGATTCATTAAGTGTTTATACTATGGTTATATTTCAACACAGAGACCTCAAGTTCTCCTTTATGGGATTACAGTGGGGATGTGGGCCAGATAGCACGTATTAGGTGAAATTTAAGGTTCCTGGGAAGGGGCTCTTATTTCTGAAAATGTCTCACCCACCTTCTGGTTTATGCCTGCCTAAAACTTCATATAGAAAGACTGGTTTATTTGGTGTTGGGTTTTATCACCAGCTCGAATACAAGTGTTCTTGGGAGATGTAATACTAATGTTTCATATTCATACAGCTCAGCATAATTCTAAATACGTTTTCGCTTATATTTTCTTAGATGGCAGGGTAATGTGACTGCAAAACACATCATCTTATTTGATTCTCATAAAGACTATGTGAGATGGGTATGATTATGTTCTCCATCTGACAGGGAAAAACTGATAGATTTACCCCCAGATCACACAATAAACAAATGGTAGAACCAAGTATAAGAGTTGTTCCACTTGAATATATTCTTATGGATCATTCAGTAAGTATTTCCTGAGAGCAAGTTGGATGGGACAAAAAAGGGGAGGAGTAACGGGATGCTATGTGGCAGGTGGGACAGGAGAAGACAGCACCGAGGGAGGAGAGGGTACAGAAAAGGGGGGAGTGCAGGTCCTGAAGACTGTGGCTTCGCAGCCCCCCAGGCCTTTGGC